AGAGCTACATCAAGAGACAGAGATGCCACGAATGGAAGGCAACCACTCCTGCACAACCTAGTGAGCAGTCTCATCCCCACACTAGAATCATACGATCATAGAAACACCTTAATTGTGACACTGCATCTCAGAGAATTGTTGGAGATGAAGGATTTTCCGTAGGGTGCACTCCTACAATCACTGCTCGTATCTGAAGGACTATGAACACTGAATGCACTGCAAAAAGAGTGAAAGGGGGAAAAAAAGGAGTCTGCAGTGGTGAAATATCTACCAAAGGTCTCACTAAGATTTGGGATGAGAAGAAGTAAAAAAAGACAAGCATCCTGTTTGTTGGCCTTGCTCTTCACCCTACTCAGCACCATCATTCCCAGTGTCAAAGCTGGAACATACGACAAACACATAAAAGAATACTACATCTCCTGAACTGTTAGCTCCGAGACAAATCAAGGCCCCTTTATTGGACAAGAGCATCATTCTTGTACCTCTCTTCTCCCTATGTGCATCCCTACATTACAAGAGGAAACTGCTATGCTATCACATACATAAAACTCCTTTGGTAGATCTAAGTGCCTTCAGTAAAATGCCAGAAAATGCTTCTTCCCTCCAGTTAGGAAAACTCCCTGTTGTGGGAAGTGACTCAGCTGGGACATAATCCAGAAAGCAAGAGAAGATGGGGGACCCTGATGGCATTTTTCCAGTCTTAATCAGCTCTGACTGCATGGCGATAGAGACTGATAAGCTGCCAGAAGTCCTTTCTTTCTAGGATACTTGAAATTGTGGTCCAGAACAGTTGTGACCTTTGTGTGGTCTGTGTTCCATTTAAAAAAATGCAAAATCAGGGGCTGTAGCTTCCCATGGTAGCCAACAAAATATTTTGATAGATTTATCCTAATCTCCTGCAAATCTCCATTTCTCCTTCCCCATCCTTAATCAATTTCCACTCCAATAAATATTTTCTTTTCTTCCAACGTGCCTATCTGTGATCACACACTTAGCAATACAAAGGGCTGTGACAGGGAGAAAGCATCCTTAACAGACACTGCATAACACATGTGGGAATCCTTTCTAATAAAAAGGGATTAGATTAAAGACAGGCAGCTACCACAGATCAGCAACTGAATCAGCAGTAAAGAGTAACTTAGACTTAGGAGACTTCAATTTGCTGATCTGTCAAGGACTTCCAGAGAGAAATCACTCTGTACATCATTCCATAACCTACAGGAGGGTAGGAGGTGATACACACCAAAGACTGGGGTCCTTACATGCAGTATGGTAGAGTGGGCTTCCAACAAAACCAAGAAAGTAAAATTACCAGAATTGTATGTTTAACTCCTAAAAATGCACTCTTTTTGTTCATTTGTTTAAGTACGATGCTCTCTGATTATAATTCTGTGATTAATCACTGCCTTGCCACTGCCAGCTAGAGGATTTCCCAGTGACAGATCATGTTGCTGTAGTGAGTCTAGGCAATAACTGATCTTGCTCCGTAAAAGTGTGCTTCCAACATGCTGCTTCTTGGCTTACCATGTTCCCTGGCTCCTCAGGAATGCAGCATGAGCCATAATATGCTACCAGCTGCGTGTGCTTTGGTGAGTAGTCACTGGCTACAGCAGTTTCCCCCTCTCTGAAACCACCTCCAGTAACTTGCACTCAGGGAAACTGAGGAGAAGTGTTGTGGTGAGCAGAGACCTGATGGAAGTGCTGGCTGGCTGGCTCCCAAACTCAGCTCACCCAGTCCCCCAGCAGCAGCAGCTGGCATTGCCAGGGCAAAGAGGCTTTAGGTTCTTGCTCCTCCTCCCTCTCCAGGAACATCTGCCTATGCTGAAACAAGATGGCTTGTTGGTAAACCAGAGATAAGGAAAGTGGAACTGCAGCAGGAAGATGGTTAAGGAAAAGATCTTAGTGTGCTGACAGGGCAAGTAAAATGACCTTTCTCCAGCCTGACAGTTCAAATGTAATTATTCCAACAAATTATTTCCATGACTTAATATAACGCCTTGCAGCTTTCTAGCAAGGTTAATTAGATTCCTCAATTCAAAACCTATCTGTTCTTAACCAACTTTTAATATGCTGAAATCCAGTTTTCTAAATTCAAACTAATAAAAGTGATTAGCTGACAGCTATCTGGTATGCTACAATTACCATGGCATTTAGACCCCAGGCAGAAGATATTTAATGCAAATCAGAGTCAATGTCTCTGCCCATTTGTCCTTTTTCTGATTATTGGATCAATGTGCCATATGAATCTTGTACAATCCATGTTACCACGCTAAACAAATAAAGAACAGAGAATAAAGGCAGAGATAGTGGTTCAGACAGTTAACCAAAGTTGAAAGACTCCTTTTCTCCTCCTACACTTAATTTCTTCTTTCCGATGAGCATGAAGTTGTGGGGAGGCACAAGGCTGACAGCTCAGTAGATGGGTATTTAGCTCTGACAAAGCCAGAATTAGTATAAAACTCCCAAGCCTGCACTGCCACATCTGAATTCCTCAACCATTGTGATCCCAGAGACCATTTTCCTTTGAGAGTAGGTCGGGCTGGAATAAACCTAAAAGGATGAGGGCAGACCACCTCTTTGATTTTAACCAACCATAAAAAGCAGTTGTGTCCCAGGACTGCTAGTTTTGTTTTGTATTTTTCTTGGAAGGTATATAATTAGTTGTGGCTATGTTTCCCAAATTGCCGCATGGGGCACAGCTTGCTTAAAGCTGAGGAGTTCAGCCCAACACACAGTTTATCTGCACATCAAGAATGCCAAGGCTGGAGACTCAGAGATGATCTTCAGTGGTATAGACTGAGTGCAGTTAGAAGATCCTTCAGGTGCAGCTTGTAATTAAGCATCATCTGCCCAAGGACAACTAGTGTTGTTGTTTGATTTTCACCAAGCAGCTTGCATCATGCACAATCACTCTATCTTTGATCATGCTGCTGCTTATAACAACAATGTTGGCAACATTTCCAAATGATCTCGATGCTCCTTTCCATCTCCTGTTTTTCTGCTGAATTAAGAGCTACTGGCAAGGCATTGGTCTGACCTTCCATCCGATAGCCAAATTGATGACCTAACATTGAGAGACCTTATGTTCCAATCCTCTGAGCCATGCATCCCTTTTAGATGAATAAGCCTCGATGTACCACACTCGCAAACAGAGCAGAACCATCTCAGTGATACATTATTAGCCTGCAAAACCCTAGCATTTCAGCTCCATAAATACAAGTGCTAAACAAAACTAAACCTTCACTTCAGGAAGCAATTTCTGGGCTGTGAGGAAAATTAATCACTAGAACAGCTTACCAGGGTAGGTGGTTGACTCACCATTGCTTGAAGTCTTTAAGATAAAAAGATTAGATTTTTTTTTTTTAAAGTCCTGATTCAATCAAGCTTTTTGGGAGAAATTGAGAGTAGGACATTGGGCTGTATAGTGCCAAGGTCTTTTCTGAACTTAGATCCTGTGAGTTTCTGAACATTCTGCTCACCCAACTAACTTACTGAGCTTATGGGAAGAATGGAGTGGGCTTGGGTCCCTGAACAGGCTCTTGCCACTTACAGTTCTGCATTAAGAAAATGACTGTAATCAAATCTCATGCTTCAGGGCTTCAGCCGTTTGCCTGAAGGGAGCAGGAAAAAGGCTTCTCCTTCTTGCCCGCCCACACTAATAGCTAAGTACATGTTTTGTTTGTTTGGCTTATTGTTGCTTCCCTTTTAAAACATTAGAGAGTGAACTCAAATGAGTATGGGGCAGAGACAAAGTCAAATGCGGCAACACAGAAAATGCTCTCTCGTTATCCCGTCTTCAGAAAGTCATTCTTGCTTACACCTTGAATCTGTGCTAGTCATCAGCTTTGATGACCATCACCATTTACAAAGAAGACATTTTGGCTGTAAGGGTGGATACCATGGAAGGCATAGGATACTGATGGAGAACGGGGACTGATATCTACCCCATTTCACAGAATAATGTTTATCTGATGAGAACATCTTGACCTTCTCATGTAATCAGATTCTTTTCACTGAGAAATCCTTGTTTATTAGGACCTTGGTTCCACCTGCTTTCCAATTAAACAAAACGACTGAAGTTTCTTTAAGTCAGACATGCTTTTGTCCAACCAAAATCTATAGCCAATAGACCTAGAGGGCAATGTAAATGGCATTTTTAAGAAATGATGAAATAAAGGAAGGCAAAAAAAGACAAAATGAATAGCTTATTCTAGCCGTTAACTATATCAATTAAAGTAGTTTGTTTCCTAACAACAGGACGCTCAAGCCTAGTAAGAAACTAAACACACAGGCAAGATGTATCAAATACGCCCAAATCTCTTGATTTTAATGAAGGATTCATAGTCTGTAAGACTTGTTTTACGTAGAGGTACGACATACATTTTATACATATAGATGTCTAAGGTAATTCAGTTATATGCTCTTTCCACAGATACCAGCTGATTATCTTTTTTTCCAGTGAGGAAGATGACATAGATATAATGACTCAATCAGCTCAGATTTATCTCCCTCATATTTGTTGGACCCAGTTCTGGGCTAATGGGTGTCCATATAAAACCAACCTGATTGATTCAAAATGGGTTTCTTTTTAATCTATGCCAGCAAACAGGAGCAGAATGCATTTACATTACCAGGTTCTCTGCAGATGCAATGAGAAGAGAAGGATGGGGCAGTTGGGCAAGAAAGTGCATGAAACCTGAATTCACCCTGGTAATCTACAGGCTGGGGACAGACAAAAAGAACCAAAAACTGAAAAATTCCACTTTATAACCAGAAAGACTGTAAACACACAGCAAGTGAGCACGAGATTTATGCTGAAATTACAGAGGAATTCCTACGGATGATTACACTTCCAGCCCAAGCATGGAAAGCAAATCTATCAGTACGAATGCCACTGTATTAACACTGCAGCTGTCATGCCTCCCTCCCCACTACCAAACCTGGTAAATGCAGAAAGGGGCTATGGAAAGACTGAATCAGCGTGACATGGCACTGCTCACCAAAGTATTCATCAGAGGGAGGATTCTCCATGTCATACAGCATTTTCTTTGTCAGATGTTCCAGCTCATCTTCAGGCCTGAAGGCAGGAGTGCTTGATGTGGGTCCAGAGCTTGGATACCCACTCTAAAAAAAAAAGAAAAAGAGAACAGTTTGTGATGTGGTATAAAAGCATTCCCCTACAGTAAAAGAGTCTATTGACTGCTCAGTGCTGAACTTCATTGTCTTTTTGCTTTTTTTAAAACCCAAGAGATTCACACAAGTAAACATCCCATTTAATGTAATGAAAATGGACTCCTAAAAATGTCCAGTGAAGTGCTATATATCCTATTAGAATGAGAAGAACTCTGTGCCTCATAATTAGGTGTCTACTGGGTAGCACACAGTAATAAATAAAGGAGAAATATTATTCCAAGGATAACTTGATACAAACATTTTCCAACACTGAAAAAAGGCTTTGGAAGCATTTCAGTTTGGATTTGGCAAAAGCTTCCATCATTTAACAATGCAATAGAAGAGAGGCTAGAACAATCATTCCTACAGTGGCGGAGTGTATAGACAAAGACAGATAATTCCAAGCTGCTAGTTTTGTTCTCTTCTTGTTTGTTTTGACACAAATTCTGCTGTTAACACTTGCAAGAGCAGGAGTGAGCCCACAGATTTTTAGTGCTAGGGATACAAAGGTTTTAGTATGCACTTAAAAACTGAGACCTCTTGGCCTTCATGTGCTAACAGCTGGCATAAAATATTTAAAGTCCATCTCAGTGAGCTTTCTCCCTGGAAAACAGCAGAACTACAGGAGTATTTTGAGAAGCACAGAAATAGTCACATGTCTAAGAGTTTCTTAGAAGAAGCTAAGTTTGGTGTCTGCAGTGAGAAACTCGGTCATTTCAGGATTAAAAACATGCTGACATCGGTTTTCCTTGTGTGCACTGCTTTCTTGAAAGACTTGCATGGGAAAACTAACTTATTTATGCAATGAAGTATTTGAATAAAGGAAGGGATTTAATTGATTAATCGCTACCTTCATCAAAGATTGGACCTTACATGAGAAATTTCTGAGTGATAGTCTATAAGTAAGCACTTTTTCATGCTGTTTACCTATTTAAAAGGGAAGAAAAAGTAACATCACTGGAGAAACAATACACCTCTATCCAGCTTATATGGAATACACCTGACACGATGAATTCTTATAGAGCTGGTCACATTCAACAGAGAACAGCAGCTTTAAAACACTGCAAGAGAATTAATGAAATGCTTTTTTTTTTTTTTTTTCTTTCAGGCAAGAGAGAATTTCAAATGAGACATCAATCAATGTAGAGAAGGTCTCCAAACAGTGCTCAGCAATAATACTTCAATCATCCACTCCAAAAAACCAAACACTTGCATGTTCCTGACCTCGTCATGTTTATTTTTCTAGGGCCAGTGCTAAGCTGTGTTCCATCACCTCTCTTTCTTGTTGACCTGACCTCCCTCATACATGCAGCACCCATGAGTGCAGTAGCATGACTGCACTTCTTGGAAGTGCTGGATTTGCTGTGCACACACAATAGGACAGTTGTACAGGCTGCTGCCTGTCGCTTGCTTTCTAATAGAGCAGCAGTGCACAAATGAATTGGGTGGCATGGTTCTCCTGGAAGAAAGAGCGCCTGGAAAAAGACCCAGGTTGGATTAATTTCCTTCAAGGCTATGCAAGACCTGTTTGCCATATATCCAGTATCCCTACCTGAGGATGAAACCATACATTCACGTTTTCCCATAGATGTTCTATTTTTCTGCTGAGGAATTTTTGTTTTCTGAGCAATGTTCAATGAGTTTATGCAGTTCTCCAGGATTTCTATATGCCCAGCAGTTGTTCTGAGGAAGTTGTTGAACGTCTGTTAATCTTGAGTGGCTACACATAGCTCAACAAACGCTCTTGCACAAAAGCAACCACACTGTGTTTGGGTTACCACAACTTATTTTCTTCAAACAGAGAGACAGGCTTGTATGGTGCACAGGACTTACATTTGTTTTCAAAGTCAAATAAGTGCCACCTCTGTGGGATATTTCGTTTTGGTGTGGATAGGGTCATTCACTTAACAAATTTCAGAGCCAGGCACTTAACCCAGCAGAACCAGATGCCCTTGGTGTTTTGTGGCTGTTCTTAGAAGGCTAATTGACAATTGCTTCGTTAGAAATAATAAATAATGTATCCCTAAAAAAAAAAAAAAGTTTCATTAATAAGGCAATTAAGGCTGCCAAATACAAAGCATTTAATCTTGGAAGAACAGCATATTTTCCTTTGCTCTCTTGTTCCCGTGAGCTGACCATGAATCTTGCCTGAACATACATTTTAACACAGCAAGAGCAGCCAAGGATTTATTAGCTTGAGAAATCAATCTAGCATCTGAGCATCTCAAAATATCATTTCATCCTCTTTCAGTTTCCAGGCAGAATGGAATGAATGACCAGTGCTCTCCTGTGAAAGAATCACAGAGGATGGCAGGCTGTGGGGCCTGTGCCTCTCCTCCACACCAGCCTGCACATCTCTGGAGCAGGAGGCTGCTCGTGTCTGTTTCAGGAAGGGCTCTGGCTGTGCCATTTAAAATGAAAGATCAAAATCTGCAGACTTTCTCTAGTTTGGGAGACCATGTATCCTCACACGCAATAAAAAGGGCTGCTCTCATATTTTATCTACGTTGCACTTTTCCAGATTGGGCAGATTTCTTATCCAGTATTCAACATCAGCAAAAACAACACACACCAACCACAATGTTAGGAGACATTTTAACTTATTTTGACTAAAATGCTACGCTTTTTTGACCAACACTTAAGCAATGCTAGGCACGTCTTTTTTCTCCTTGCATGGCATATGCTGACTATGTGCCTCCAGGAAAATGCATTTCATACATATGAACATGCTGTTGAGTTTGCTGGGGCATGCACGCACACAAACATAGAAAAGCATATCCTTAGTGGATCTAGATTGCTTGTTTCAGCAAAACAGTTTCCTTCCTCCTCCTTTGTTAGGTCAGGGTAAAAATATAATCCTGGCTTTCCTTACAGAACAGTTGTGTTGTTGTTTATTAAACTTCCTCTGTTTTCTCCCGATCTGTACCATGATCAAGGCTGTCTAGAAATACAATTTACTGCCTAATCTGCCACAATCATCTTCATGCATTCTCTTTTCTCCACAATGCTTCAGTGTACACTGCGTCTGAGACACAGAGAGCTCAAAGCTGTGCTCTGTGCTGAGCAGCCTCCCAGATCCTCTGAGCATCCCAGCAACATCAGAGATTATAAAGTGGCCCATGAAAATGGAAAAGAGCTCTGATCTGCAAAGAAGGACCATGCTTTAAAAGCATTTTTCACTACTCCCATCAAATATGGAGCAACCTTGGGAAGAGCACGACAAATGCAGTTGTGTTTGCAGATATAAATGCATTTACAGATAAATGGACTAGGAAGTGCCAGCATTCCTGGGGTTAAACTCCATGGCAGAAAATATCTTCGTGTTACAAACAAAAGGAAGTGAGTTAATCGTTTGTGCCACTCCAAGCAGTGCAACAACATCTGGTTCATCTTCCTCATTAAAGTTCAGTTCCTAAAAAGCCAGGTCAAAAGAAGCAGTCACGTGGAATTGCTGCACAATTATTTTGGTACATGGAGTTGAGACTTTCTGCAGCACTTCTCTGGTATGTGCTCTGTACTCCAGACCTCATTGGTAAGCAGCTGCCTCTGGAGCTCTGGCTGCCCAGACAAAATGAGCTCTAGAGGGAGTGGGCTGCATTCTCCAGCATGAACTTTCCCCATCCACATACAAATTTTCACCCAAATGGCTAAAAATCCCAGTACAAAATCTGCAAAGACATCTGAAGATGATGCTACCATGAATGTACCATCATTCAGAGTACACTGTATGCGGTCATTTTTCTTGTCCATTTGCAAATGCTGCAGAAGTTTCTTCTCTCAGAGAGAAAATCACTTCAATTATGTGTTCCCAATTACAGAAACGTGGAAATTATCTTCTTTTCAGAAGGTAGAATTAGCCCAATTTGGGATTGAAAAGCAGCCAGAAACATCTCACACTGATACTTACTTTCCATTTCATTTTTTTCTACTTGTTCATCTGCATGAAGTTAGCACTTTCCTTTCACTTCACTCACCAGAACTCGTTGTCAGTTAAATAAACAGTTAAAGAACATCTTTGCTCATTTTTTATTCAGCGGCCTGACAAAGACCATGCTTTTTCATTTAAGTTATTGACTGTCCAAAACAATCGCAAACTCTGAGACCAAAAAATTCAGCATGGTGCCGCATCTCTCCTACGAGTTGAGCTCCCAAAGAAATAACGATTGCCTGCAGCTGTAATTCAGTCTATAATTAAGGCCAACTGAACCCTCTTACAGAGGAGATGCGCTGGAAAAAAAATATTTTAATTCTTGATTTATTTTCCCAGTGAAAAGTCACAGCTGCCTGAGTACATACAGATTCCTGAAAAGACGATCCTGCCTAGATTCCTGCCACACGCACGTTCCTGGGTTTACTCCTGCTCGGAGAATAATTCAAGTCCCTCCAAAGAAGCTGCCCTGAAAGAGGGGATATCAACCAACCTCTGCAACCCACGAGTGGCCTGAAATCACAAGTTTTTGGGCAGCTGGGAGAGTGGCCTCCCCCCCTGAGATGGGCCAGAGTGGGGCAAACCATCAGTGCCCCCACAGCCACCACTTCCCAGAGCAAACCAGTAATCCAGAGCGGGCAGCTCTGGCAGCAGAGCCCTCATTTATTAAACAGTGGCATGCTTTGAAATAGGGCAGTTTTGTAACTACTCCAAAGCTCTAGAGGATATTTTTCTTTATTTTTAAACTTCATTATTGTAACTCTATCCTCACTTGGTTATCCACGCACATTCCCAGTCTTATTCAAATCCTGCTAAGCTCCGATTTTCAACAATCTCTTGTGACAGTGTTACACAAAATATGTGCAATAATAATAATAGTAAATTAAATATTTCTGTTTCAAGTTCACAGCCTGCAATTTTGGCAAAAAGTCCCTTTTAGGGATGCAGACAGGTGGAAGGGGAGATATCTTGTCTGTAAAATCAAGACAATAGAGCCAGAATGCTTATTTTGAGTATCTGGAAG